GAGGCAGCACCTGCCCGGTCCCGGCGGGCAGCAGCCGGGCGGCGCTCCGGGACGAGCCCCGGGGAGATGCGGAGGCGGGGGACGGGACCACGGGACGGGCTGCACGCCGCCCCTCACCGTGGCATCGGGGCGGGCGCCTCCCGGAAAGGCGACGCCGCCTCCGAGCGGCACCTGCGCGTCCCCACGACCTGCGGCACCCCCGGGGCGTCCCTGCGTGGGCAGGGGGGGCCGCTCTCGAGTGGCTCCGAGGGGAGCATCGGTCACCCGGCCTTGCTTTTGGCAGGTCCCCCGGGCTGCGGTCCCGGCGGCGCTGCCAGGCTGGCCGGGCCCTCCTGCGGGGACCGTCGCGCACGCCCGGAGCCTAGCTGCGATTCGGGGCCGTCTCTGCAGTTACCGGCAAGGTCTGGAGCCGCCGACGGCTTTCCCGGCTCGGTGGGAGCCTGTCCTGCATCGCTCGTCCTGCCTCACCCCTCTACAGTGGTGGCAGGTCTCCAGGAGCCGCTCGTCAGGGCCACGTCCCCGCGGGGACCCCGAGGCCCTCGCCATGCCCAGGGTGGGGATGGAGATGGAGGGTGGTGGCCGTGGCTTGCGTGGCACCAGGGTTGCGGTCGCTGGGACAACTGCCCTTGGTGGGGACCGTTGCGGCCGTGCTTCCCCAGCAGCCGCCGTGGGAACAGGACCGGCACATTCCTCCAGAGCGGGACGCAGTGAAACCAGATAGGAGGGTGGCTGGGGAGTGTGTCGCAACCGGCTCCAGCGAGCGCCTTCCCAAAAGGCTCCAAACCGTGGCTTTGGGGATGGACAGATCCAGGCTTGGAAACATCTGGGGGGGAGGATGACAGCCACAGCTGGGTACTGGAGGGGACCTGGGCTCCCTTGGCTGTGGACGTGGGGTGAGCTGGGGCTGGAGGTGGGTGTGGACACATCCAGAGGACCCGCAGAGGTGGAGCCGGTACCCCCTGATACCGGTGCCACATCCCTCTGTCCCTAAAGCAGTCCACAACTCACCCGGAGAAGCAGGATGAGCAATGGTCCCCCTCGACCTCTGCTCCTGGCTCTTAGTGGGCTGGATCTTCTCCCCCATCCCTATGTGCCTTGTTTGCAGTGCAGACAGACCCCACTCTCACTTCCCGGCTTGTGGGGAGCCACTGCACGTGGTCCCATCTTGGGGTCCCCACACAGGTACTTGCAGGCCCTTCGAGCTGGAGGATTCCCTGCAGGAAAGGAACTGGAGCTGCTGCACTGAGGGATGTGTTGGAAAGGCTCTCATCCCACGTGCTCGCCTGCCTAGTGCTGACACCCTGCCCAGACCGGGGACCCCTGCCACTGCCTGTCCCTGCATACGTACGGTGCCCAGCACCCTGCTCCTGTTAAAGCTATTGGTAGACTCAGTTTCCCAACTGGGATACTGCTGACAGGGTGGGAAGGGAGAGCTGGGGGTAAGAAACTCCAATTGCAGCATGCCAGCGGGAGCATCCCATCATCTGGAGGCAGGTTGGAGCAGGCACAGCACAGGTGCTGGCTGCCCCGGGGAAGAGCCAGGCTGGTCCCGGCAGAGCTGGGCTTTGGCAGGGGCCACCGTGCACTTGTCCCACATGGGATTGGTTCATCCCTTTGGGACAGGGTGTTTGTGCCTGGGACGCTCAGCCATCATGCTGCAGTGGAGTGTGCTGTGCCGCGAGTGGCACATCTGGATGTCACCTTTAGGTGGGCTGGGGATGCCTTGGCCAGCCTGGCTGCGGGGACAGCACTTGCTGGGATGTTCCCTTCCTTTTCCCTGCAGAAACAGGCTGGGAAAACACATCCCATGGGAATGTGGTGCCAGGCAGGAAGATGCTAATGGGCAGCTGGTGGTTTTCCCAGCTCTGGCTTTGCCCACTACCCCCGTGCCCTGCTCTGCCACGGCCCTTGGCCTGTCACTGCGCGGGGAAGGTGTGATGCAACATGACAGGCAGAGACGAGGCAGCGTGCGTGCCACCTCGTTGGAGCTGCCGGGCTGGTGACAGCCCCGGCGCCGAGTGCCGGCTCGCGCGCAGCCGGCCGTATAATCCGCTTACGGGGGCACCGGCGCAGCCCCAAGCTCTCGCTGTGGTAAATCCCCGCTCGGGTCAGGAGTGTGGGGTGGGATGGTTGGAAAGCGGTGGTTGTTGTAGGAAAGCTATGCTACACCGGGCAGGGTGGATTTGGGGCGTGAGGGCCACCGCTGATGGGGTGCAGAGCTTGGCCAGTGTGGTGGTGTGGCGGGGGGGGCGATGCTTCAGGCTGAGATGGGGTGGGGAAAGGGGCTGTAAAGCTGTCGGGGAGCTCCTTTAGGGAGGTGCGGTGTCAGCTGGGGATGGTGGCACTGCTCCCCTGGGACAGGGCTGAGCAGGGACCGCTGAGGCCAGGTGGGGACAGCAGGGTGTCTGCCGCTGGCATTGGGTGGCCTCAAAACTGGGTGGGGGGGGGAGATCCAGAGCTGGAGTTAGGAGGGTGGCTGGGAGCCAGGGATGCTGGGGACTGGCACAGAAGCATCCAGGCCCCTCTCTGTGTCCACAGGCTTGCGGTTCATCGCACCTGTCCTGGCACTGGCCGATGCTTCAGGGCTTTTTAGTGCTTTCCTGGCGAACGCAGCCCTTCCACGGCTGAGTGACCCCGGCTGCGTGCCTGAGCTGCTCTGATGCATCTTGACATGCATCAAGGTGAATCACGGTCCCTGATGACCCCCGCCAGTGACAGCCCAGCCCGGGTGCCCTCGCTGCCTCTTGGGGCGCTGTTAACCCTTCACCTCCCCAGGGATGAGCTGGGGAAGCTGAGGCAGGACTGGAGCTTCTGCCAGAGATCCCTGTGGTGAGCATCAGCCCTGCTTCTCCCAGCCCAGGGTCAGGTTCTTCCCAGCCAGACACATCAGGCCCAGCCAGAGCAGTGACTTGGAGCTTTGCAGGGAAGCTTTAACTGTCAGGCACAAAAGCATTGAGTTCTCAAACAGTCTTTCATGGAAAACTGGGTTTCTCCCCTCAAAGAGGCTGGGGGGCCCTGCTGGCATAGCTGCTCCAGGGTGGGGAGCAGGAGAGGATCTGGTGTGCACTGGGGTGGAGGAGGTTTTTGTCCTGGGGTGGAGGTGTTTCCAAGGGCTTCATGTCCTCCTGGGCTGTAGCCAAACTGCTCAGCCCAGGGGGGCTGCTGGTGGTGGTCATGCAGCCCCCCAGGACCTGCCTTGCCACCTCCTTGGCCAACGGTGCTTTGCTGGTCCTTGACATCTTGACAACTGGGCAGGAGCTGGGCTTTGCTCTGCCCTGGGGCTCCCTCTCCCCTCCTGTGCCCCCCCCACTGGTCCTGCCCCCAGCACCCACAGGGGCCGTGCCTGCCTGCTGGGTGCCGTGGATGCCGGGGCCAAGGTCCCTGCCCAGGGTGGAGTTATGCTAATACAGCTCCCCATCCCTCAGCGCAGCCGGTGCCACTCAGCATCCTCTCCCAGCCACGGGTGACGCCGGTTCTGCCATGGCCACCTGCCCCGAGCTGCAGCCTGGGCAAGAGGTACAGGGGCAGCCTTCCTCCCAGGTGGGGCGAGAGAGGGGGCACATGGGGATGGGGGGACCTGGAGTACCTCGGTGCTGCGGGGAGGTGCTACAGGCAATGCTCTGTCTCCGGGACAGCCTTGCTGTGGGATGCACTTGCTGCAGGACCCCTGGGGATGAGGAGCAAACCCCTCCCGTGCCACAGCATCACCATCGGCTTCTCTGGGGTGGGGGGTGAGGTGGAGCCCCGAAGGGCTGGAGCCCCGAAGGGCTGGAGTGGCAGCAGGGCTGGGAGCGCTTAGTAGTGGTGGCATCATCTCCCAACACTGTGTGGCCCCCAGCCGGGCTGTGCTGCAGTGGGGGCTGGTGCTGAGCCCCCTCCAGGTCAAGATCAGTGAAGAAGAGGATGCTGTGGTCACACAGACCCACAGAGCACTCTTGACCCGCTGGGGGAGAAGGGAGCATGGGGGCCCTGCAGCCCCTGCCATGGGGGCACCTGCTGCCCCTCCACCCAGGCACCGTGTGTGGCCCCCCGTGCTGGTGGCCACAGGGCTACCAGGGAGTGGGGGGCAGGTGTGCAAACGCACAGCCCCAACAGCGCCGTGACCTTGTTTCCAGCCTGCTAATTCGGTGCATCTCGCCTTGCCGCCGGCAGAGCTGCCCTCCCCACCGATGGAGCGGGGACATGGGATGGGGGAGGACACACGTCCCCATGGAGGGCTCTCGCCTTCAGGCCCTGATCTGGGGGGGGGCACTGAACTCCAAGTGTGACCCTGCAGGGTCAGGGGCTCCCCTAGACCCTGTGTGTCCGCCATTTGGGGGTCTCCCTACCCATGGGGTTGGGGTATCCTGGCAGTTGCTGTGGCAAGACATCGGGGACCCCAGTGCCTGCTGGCAGGAGCGCTTGGTCCCATGGGAGCCGCTGCCAGCCGTGCTCTTGGGAACATGTCTCCTCCCGCCAGCACTTGTAAACAGGATGTGGAGCCGTCCCAGTCCCAGCGTCCTTGTCCCTCGTCCCAGCCCCGCCGCCCCACAGGGCCAACCAGCTCAGGGGCTGCTGTGTCTGCCCCCCCCCCCCACCCCCCGCCTGGGGCTGCTGCCTGCACCAGCTCCAGGATGGGGAGAGCCAGGCCAAGGGGGTGTCGGTGTCCCGGTGTGTGTGAGGACACGGCTTGAGCATGGCCATGGGGTTTGTGGCCCCTTTGCGTGACAGGCTGTGTTGCCCCAAGCCCTTTGCATGTGGGGTTGGTGATGGCTGTGGGTCAGGTTCCCTGCCCTGGCTGTCCCCTGGGACTGCAGCGGTGGGAGCCCCTTGTGCCATCGCCCACGCCGAGACCCTGCGAGCGAGCAGGCAGGGGGGCACAGGCAGACTCCTGCCCACGGTCTGCCTCCCCCCTGGGTCTGGCCCCCCTGCCAACTCCTCTGCCGCTGCTGTTCATCTCTTCTTGGTGTCTCTCCCTCCCCCCTGGCACCCCCTCCCTGTCCTCCTGGCAGGCCATGGGGTGCTTGGGGGCCCTGGCTACCCCAGAAGACCTCAAGGAGCAGTGGGGTGTCCAGGGGGAAGGTCCCTGTCCCCCGGAGTGCCAGGAGCTGGCTGCTGTCCCCATGCCGCAAGCTGTAAGCTCTCAGGGTGCATGGGACTGTGGCTGTCCCTACTGCCATCCCATGGCTGTCCCCAGGGTGGTGGCTGGTCCCCTCGGGTAGCTGTGTCCCCCCTCTCCTCCCATCCCTGCCAACCTTGGGGTGCGTGTGTCTGGATGCTGTAGCTTGGGTGCTCATGATGCCAAGATGGGTGATTCCACCTCAGGCTGGCACTGCCACCATGGGTGTCATCTCCTCCCTTGGTCCCCAGATAAAGCGTTTCCTGAAGGAGGACTCAGAGGAGGCTGAGCTGACCCAGCTCCTGCGGGATTGCCCACCGGCCGACAGCCCCAGGAAGGTGGAGCCCCTGGAGAGCTGGCGGGAGCCCGGCCACCCCCTCTGTGGCGTGGGAAGGGTCCCCCCTGACGAACCTGCTGACGAGAGGGACGCCAGGATCTTCTCCCGGTCTCGACCTTTGGATTTCCAGCAGCACATCGCTGCCCCCCTGTCCCCCAGCCCCAACCGCCCACGGAGCCCCTGGGGGCAGCTGGACCCCTACGACTCTTCTGAGGTGCAGGATGCATCCGCAGGGAGTGGGGGGACATTGGGTGAGGGGCTGCAGGAGCCACGGTGGAGGATGGTCCCACCTTCCGAACCCAAGGGGTTTGGGCAGGCATGGCTGCATCTTGAGGTGCTCCAACCTGGGGGACCCCTTGGGGGCCGGGGGGGACATGACAAGGGGGTGGCCCACCAGGATGGTGGGGGGTGGGATGATGGCATCCCCTGTCCCACATCCCCTCTGCCCGCAGGATGACAAGGAGTACGTGGGCTTTGCCACGCTGCCCAACCAGGTCCATCGGAAGTCAGTGAAGAAGGGCTTCGACTTCACCCTCATGGTGGCAGGTACGGGGGAGTGAGCCTGGCATGGTCCCCTGCCAGGGGGGGATATTGATCCCACTCTGGATCCCAAAAGCCATGGAGCCGGGGGGGGTGTACCGGCTGCTGCCCCTCACCCTTGTCCCCGTATCCCAGGGGAATCCGGGCTGGGCAAGTCCACCCTGGTCAACAGCCTCTTCCTGACGGACATGTACAGAGACCGCAAGCTGCTGAACGCCGAAGGTGAGGGGGGTATGACAGTCCCAGTGGTGGGGTGTCCTGGGTATCCGGGGCGGGGGGGGGGGGGGGGCCCCCCCGGCCCCC